GATGTTTCTAACTCTCTATCCCTCTCCCGTCTTCTCTGTAAAAAATCAATAAAATATACTTTTTAAAAAAAAGAAATGTCAAAGATTTTCCTGTATATATTTTCCTCTAGGATTTTTATGGTTTTGAGTCTTACATTTGAGTCTATAATCCATTTTGTGTTTATTCTTGTGTATGGTATAAGAAGGTGGTCCAGTTTCATTTTTTTTTATTATCTGTCCAATGATTCCAATACCATGTGTTGAATAGACTTTCTTTACTCCACTCTATATCCTTGCTTTCTTTGTCAAATATTAATTGACTATAAAGGTGTGGATTTATTTCTAGGCTCTCTATTCAATTCCACTGATCTGTATTTCTGTGTTTATGCTTGTATCATGCTGTTTTGATTACTATGGCCTTGTAGTATAGTTTAATATTAGGTACTGTGATACCACTGACTTTGTTCTTCTTTCTGAAGATTGCTGTGGGTATTTGGTTCTTTTGTGGTTTCATATAAATTTTTGAATATTTGTTCTAGTTCAGTGAAATATACCATTGATATCTTAATAGAAATTGCATTAAATATATAGATTGCTTTGGGTAGTATGGGCTTTTTAATTATCTCAATTCTTTCAATCCATGAACACGATATATGCTTCCACTTATTTGTATCTTCTTCCATTTTTTTCTTTAGTTTCTTATGATTTTCTAAGTACAGATCTTTTACCTCCTTGGTTAAATTTCTTCCTAGACACCTTATTTTTGCTGTAGTTGTAAATGGGATTGTTTCCTCAGTTTCTCTTTCTGATAGTTTGTTATTGGTATATAAAAATGCTGCTGACTTCTGAATATTAATTTTGTCCCCTGATACTTTAAGGAATTTATTTATCAGTTCTAGTAATTGGTTGGTGGAATCTTTAGGGTTTTCTATATACAGTATTATTTCACTGGAAAATGGAAGTAATTGACAGTTTACCTTTTCCTTTCCAAATTGGATGCCTTTTATTTCTTCTTATTTATATGCTGTGTCTAGGACTTCCAGTACTTTGATGAATAAGAGTGGTGAAAGTGTGCTTCCTATTTTATTTCTGATCTTAAAGGAAAAGATACCCATCAAGTATGATTTTGTCTGTAGGTTTGTCATATATGTCCTTTATCATGTTGAGATATGTTCTCTCTGTTCCCACTTTGCTGAGAGTTTCTATTATAAACTAGGGGCCCAGTGCATGAATTCATGTTCCTTGAAAGGAACTGTAGGCCATGAGGCTGCGGTGGGCACAGGGGTGGGTCTCGGCCCATCCTGCCGCAGTCCCCAGTCACCTGTCTTCCGGCAGCCCTGCTCCCAACACCGCCACTGCTCCCATGCTCTGACAGCATGGAGTGATTTGGGCCAGCACCAGCAGTGGGTGCGAGCAGTGGCTGCTGCCCCAATCACCCCTCAGGAGCAGGGGGAGGTGGAGAAACCCTGAGGGGCAATCGGGCTGGCTCCAGGCCCCAGCCGCGGGTGTGAGCACTGGGTGGAACTGTGGCACAAAGAATTTTCAGAAACCACCAGAGGCTCACCCTGATGACAGTGACAGGTGCCCCACCTTGGTCTGATGCCCCTGCTTACCTACTCCACCATACTGCTGTGGCCGACGCCCACCATGTTCCGTGAATGCCCCCTAGTGGTCAGCACATGTCATAGCAACCAGTTGTTCAGTTGTTCCACCATTTGGTCTATTTGCATATTAGGGTTTTATATATATAGATGGGTGCTGGATTTTGTCAGAAGCTTTTCTGCATCTATTGATAGGATCATATGATTATTATTATTCATTTTCTTTATAAGGTGTGTTACATTAATTGTTTTGCTGATATTTTACCAACCTTGTATACCAGGAATAAGTCCCACTTGATTGTGGTGTATGATTTTTAAAAATATATTGCAGGATTCAGTTTGCTAATATTCTGTTGAGGATTTTTGCATGTATGTTCATCAGGAATATTTGCCTATAATTTTCTCCCTCACTCTTTTTTTTTTAGTGCTTTTATCCAGTTTTGGAATTGAGATAATGCTGGCCTCATAAAATAAATTTGAGTCTTTGTTCCTCTTGAATTTTTTGCAATAATTTGGGAAGGATAGGTGTTAGTTAGTTCTTTGAATGTGTGAATCCATCCATGTAAGAACTTTTGTTTGCTGGAGAATTTTTATTACTGCTTCAATTTTGTTAGTGGTATTTTTCTATTCATATTCTCTGATTCTTCCTGATTCAGTTTTGGAAGACTATATGTTTCTAGGAATTTATCTATGTCATCCAGATTGTCCAATTTGTTGGCATATAGTTGTTTCTAATATTTTCTTACAATCCTTTGCATTTGTGAGGTGTCTGTTGTTACTTCTACTCTTTATTTCTGATTTCATTTAATGGAGTCCTCTCCCTCTTTTCTTGATGAGTCTAGTTAGAAATTTGTCAATCTTTTTAGTTTTTCAAAGAAGCAGCTTTTGCTTTCATTGAACTTTTGTACTGTTTTGTTTTTTAGTCTCATTGTCATTTATTTCCACTCTGATCTTTATTATTTCTTCCCTCCTACTTACTTTGGGTTTTGTTTGCTGTTCTTTTTCTAATTCATTTAAATGTAAAGTTGGATTATTTATTTGAAATGTTTCTTGCTTCTTGAGGCAGGCCTGTAGTGCTAATGAATTTCTCTTTCAGGATTGCTTTTGCTGTGGCCCATAGATTATGGGTTGTTGAGTGTTCATTTTCATTTTTAATTGTTTCAAGGTAAATTTATTTTCTTCCTTGATATCATTGTTGACCCATTTATTGTTTAATAATATGTTACTTAGCTTACATGTGTTTGTGTTTTTCAATTTTTTTCTTTCAATTGATTTCTAATTTTCTCCCATTGTGGTTGGAAAATGTGCTTCATGTGATTTTAATCTTCTTGAATTTGTAAAGATGTGTTTTGTTTCCTAACGTGTGATCTATCCTAGAGAATGTTCCATGTGTACTTGAAAATAATGTCTATGTTGCTGCTTTGGGGTGAAATGCTCTGAAAATATCAAATCCAGTGTGTCATTTAAGGGCACTGTTTTCTTATTGGGGCTGAGACCTCAGATCCTCACCACAGTGTCATGTGGATGCTGCCTCAGGCAAAAGGCAGTGAGCCTTCTGTGTCCTGCTGATGGGGGTTCAGCCTCCCTACTCACTCATAGCCCAAGCCATGGGGCCCTGTGTGATAGCATGGAGTTGAGGGCAGTATACCCACTGCCACCAGGTGCTTTTCCAGTGCCATTTTCATCACAGGCAGCCTGGAGTCCAGCACTCAGTCTTCAGCTTTGCCATTAAACTGTGTGACCTCAGGCATATGACTGCCTTCCTTGGCCTCATTTCCTTTTTATACTTAAAAGGCCCAACAGCTGCTCTTTGAGATCATTTGTGTTTGGGCATGCTGTGCATGGGAACCCTAGTGGGTAGAAGTTACCATGGTCTGCCTGTCCCACTCTCAATAGCTTACTTGCTCAGGGCCTGCGACAAGAGTTCTTTGTGAATGAGGCCATGTCATCCATTTCTAATTTGATTTCTAGAAATTGTGTACCAGGGCCTGGAGCACAGTATCAATTGGCTGGAGCCTCCTGAAAAAGTTTCAGACTTTCCAGCTTAGTAAGAAAAGCCAGGAAAGGGGTTATTGGCTCCAACTATTTATTGAGGCTGCTGTGATTATATTCCCACACTACCAACCCGTGGGAGCACTGGCTTCTCAAGCCAGCACACACTTCTGAGTCCTGCTCACAGGGCCAAGTGTCAAAGTAAGTTCCTCCTTGAACCCTGCTCACTGTACTAACTATTGGGAACTTAGTTCCTCCCTTATCCTCTGCTCGCTGCATCATTGTTGGAAGCACAGATCCTAACCCTGCCCTACTACACCAACTCTTGGGTCTGAGCCCCTCTGCCAGGGGCTGGACCTTCTTGAATGCTGGTGTTAGAAGGAGAAGCCATGAGAAGTTATAGGTGTATAAGAGAATCTTTATTGTAGGAGCCAGCGGCCATGTAGCCATTGCTAACAAGGAGCCACTAGACAAAAAGGTCCCATACAGCAGATAGCCACACACTGGCTAGCAAAAAAATATGTCTTTCTTACATAGCAGCAGCAGCCTCTGTACCCATAACCATTATCTGAGCAGCTGCACCTGTTGGTCAGTGATACATCTTCCCCATAATGCAGCCCCACATAATAGCAGCCTACTTTACATAGGAGCAGCCCTCATAGGAGCAGCACACTGTCTGGTCAGTAACAACTTTATACTACTTAGACAAAAGAGGCTTCTTTCCAGATAGTGACATCAATCATTTGGGTTATAGAAGGGTATGTTTGCCCAGTGCATAGATTGCTGCACCCTTGCACCTGCATATAGCATCTTAGCCTTGACCATTCTGATTAAGATTTCCATGCTCAGAGTGGCCTTGGTCATCTGCTGTACTCTAAACAAGGCCTCTATACTCTAACTGGCCTTGACCATCCGTCATGCTCTAGACAGGGCCCAACACCATCTTAAGGGGAGACTAAGGATTCTCTCAAGTGGGCCTGTGAAGAAGCTCCACATGGCCCATGTACATTGAAAGCAGCAGGTCAGGTACCGCTACAGGGCCTGTATGACCTTCACATGGGTGTTTCTCTCTTTCTCATTTCTGGGATGTGTTTGTGCTTGTATGTATGTGCATGTGCTCTGTGTGTGTGCTTTTATTCACATGAGGGTGCATCAAAGTTCCCATGCAGAAATGTATGCCCACCTGTGTGAGAGTATGCCCTCCTAGAGACCAAAGTTGAGACATCCAGAGGTTGGTTTTCTGCCCTCTCTGAGTTCACAGGGTCAATTGGTGTATCTTCTATGTGACTCTCCCTCTGTCTTCACTTCAAGTGCCCTGGGATCTAGAAGCCGGGGCAGGGCTCCTTCTGAGGGCATGCTAACCCTCCTCATCTCCTGGATGATCTAGGGCCCTTTGGTACCCCTTCCCTCAGCAACTGGACAGCTGAGTCAGGTTCCTTGCAGGTCCTCTGAGGGGAGGTGATTCAGGATGATGGGGTCAGGGAGCAGCTCTCCTGGGGGCAAAGGGCTGAAACCCTTGCCGGGACTGTGGACATGGTTATATGTCTGAGGGATACAGAACTGCAGGAATGGTCCTAATTTCACCTCTGTTTATCCTGTAAACTGCAACCTGTAAATAGCAGTTAGCATTCCTATTGTAACAAAATAAACTTTTATGAAGTAAATTATGTTTCCTAGCTTAACAAAAACTCCACATTATAGAACAAACAAACACACACATAATCAATAAAAAGCACTCGATTTATTTGTTAAAGAAATTTTGTTTGATTTTTAAAGCAAAGTTGTCACAAAATAAATAAAATAGAATACTAGAGAAGAGAGAGGGTATCCAACAAGGTAGAAATAGGCTGGACTGGGTTACTGTGGAGTTAATGACTTGTGGTTCACCTCAAAGATGCACTAACAATGGTATCTTCTGCCTCCTATATCTTCAGTAAAATCTACTACACTCACAAGTGCTTTTTGGATTGTCTTGCATTGGCACATGGGTGTTATAGCAGGTTTTATACCCAGCTCTTTCTCAAATTGCATTTTCATCCCCAAATTGAGAAATCACCTTGCCATGACTTCACAAGTCATGGCTGGGAGGAATCAGTCAATGACCCAGCATGGTCTCAGCTAGTCCTTGAAAACCACTCAAACCTAACAGAGAAACCATGAGAATCATTTTCCTGCATTTCTGTTTGGGGAGAAAAAGTAGTTTAGATGTCATGTTTCAGTTAGAGAAATGTTTTTATTTGAATATGCGATTCCAGCAAAGTATGTCCATCATGAACTAGCACATGAGAAAGAGTTGTGAATATTAATTACCAGTTAAGAGAATGGAAGCCCATGGCAATATATGTAGAAAATCCTTAAAACTCAACATAAAATTGCTAGTACTAATAAATGAATTCCATAATTTTGCAGGATACAAAATTAACATACAAAAAAACACAGTTGCATATCTATGCACTAACAACAAATTGTGCAAAAGAAAAATTAAGCAAAGTATCCCATTTACAGTAGCATCATAAAGAATAAAATACTTAGAACTAAATTTAACCAAGGAGATAAAGATTTGTACAATAAAAATTAAAACAATGATGAAAGAAATTAAAGCGCAGACACAAATAAATGAGAGAACATTTTGTGTTCAAGAATGAATATTGTTAAAATCGCCATACTACACAAAGCAACCTAAAGATTTGATGTAGTTCTTGTCAGAGTCCTAATGATATTTTTTTACAGAAATAAAAAGAAATTCTACAATTAATATAGATCCACAAAAGACCCTAAATAGCCAATGATATTTTGAGCAAGAAGAACAAAGCTTGAGGCATCACACTTACTGATTTCAAAATATATTACAAAATGATGGTAATCAAAACAGTATGATGCTTGCATGAAAATTGACAGCTAGACCAATGGAGCAGAATAGAGAGCCCAGAAATACATCCATACATATATGGTCAACCGATCTTTGACAAGGGTGTCAAGAATACACAATGGGGAAAAGTAGCCTCTTCAGCAAATAATGCTGGGTAAACTGGATATCTGCATGTCACAGAATAAATTGGACCCTTATCTTGCACCATACCCCAAAACTACTCAAAATGGATCAAATACTTAAATGTAAGATTTGAATCTTAAAACTGCTAGAAGAAAACTCAGGAAGAAAGCTTCTTGACATTGGCCTTGGCAATGCCGTTTTGTACCTGACAGCAATAGCACAGAAAACAAAAGCAAAGTAGACAATTAGGATTATAAAAATAAAAAGGTTTTTCACACCATAAGATACAATCAATAAATGAACATGCAGCCTCTGGAATGGGAGAAAATATTTGCAAACCATTTATCTGAGAAAAGGTTCACATACAAAATATATAAAGAACTTCTACAACTCCATAGCCAAAAAACAAATAAACCAATTTTAAAAATGAACAAAGTAACTGAATAGACATTTCTCCAAAGAAGACATACAAATGACCAACAGGTATGTGAAAAGGCATTGAACATCATTAATCACCAGGGAAATGCAAATGAAAACCACGATGAGATATCACCTCATACTTTCAGAATGTGTATTAAAAAACTAAGAGGAAGGAAAACAAATGCTGGCAAGAATGTGGAGAAAAGCAAATCCTTTTACACTCTTGGTGGGATTGATTATTGGTGCAGTCACTATAGAAAACAGTATGGAGTTTTCCCAACAAATAATTTTTAAAAAATAGAACTACCATATGATCCAGCGAGCCCACTTCTTGATATGTATATAAGGAAATGAAAACATCAAAGAGAGATCGGCACTCCCATGTTTGCTGGGGCATTGTGCACAAGGACCAAGACTTGGAGGTAACCTCAACATCTTTTGAAGGATGACTGGATAAAGAAAACCTGGTATTTACATACAATGGGATGTAATTCAGCCTTAAAAAAATAAACACTGCAATTTGTGGCAATATTCATGAACCTGGTTCATATTATGTTAAATAAAATATGCCAGACGCATATACTACATGATACCACTTTTATGAGGAATGAGAAACAATGAAAGTCAATGGAGCAGAGATTAGATTGGTGGTTGCCAGGGGCTGGAGGGTTGGCTGAGATATTATTTAAGGACATAAAGTTTCAGTATGTAAAATTGATTCAAGGCAATGATTTTATTATTTATTTTTTAAGATATATTTTTATTGATTTAAGAGAGGAAGGGAGAGGGAGAAAGAGATAGAAAGAGAGAATCATTGATTGGCTGCCTCCTGCATGCCCACACTGAGGATTGAGCCCACAACTGACCTGAAATCAAACAGTGTCCTCCTGGTTCATTGGTCAACGCTCAACCACTGAGCCACACCAGCAGGGCAAGGCAGCGATTTTCAATCTTTCTTTCCTCATGGCACACATGAACTAATTACTAAAAGAGCACTCTTAGGAATTAGTTTATGTGTGCCTTTAGAAAAGAAGGTTGAAAATCGCTGAATTAAGGAATTATTTTTTTAATCATTTAAAAATATTTTTATTGATTTCAGAGAGGAAGGGAGTGTTTGAGAGAGATAAAACATCAATGATGAGAAAGAATCATTGATTGGCCACCTCATGCACACCTCACACTGGGGATGGAGCCCGCAACCCAGGCATGTGCTCTGACCGGGAATCAAACCATGACCTCATGGTTCATATGTCGACGCTCAACCACTGAGCCATGACGGCTGGGCATTTTTTACTTCCTTTACACATTTCTGCTACTCTCTACCCCCTGCCTCTGGCAACCCACAATCTATTCTGTTAATAAATTGCCTGGGTTTTTTGAGTCCACATGTAAGTGAGATCATGTGGTATTCATCTTTCTTTGTTCTGACTTTTTTAACTTAGTATATGCTCTTAAGATCCATCCGTATTGCTGCAAATGGCAAAGTTTCCTTTTTTTGTTATGACTAAGTAATATTCTATTATATATGTATGCTACATTTTATTTTAAAAAACATATTTTTATTGATTTCAGAGAGTAAGGGAGAAGGAGAAATAGAAACATCAGTTATTAGAGATAATCATTGATTCACTGCCTCCTGCAGCCCTGCACTGGGGACTGAACCCACAGCCCGGGTATGTGTCCAGACAGGGAATTGAACTGTGACCTTCTGGTTCACAGGTTAATGCTCAACAACTGAGCCACTCTGGTCAGGTCACATTTTCTTTATCTATTCAGTTGTTGATGAGCCCTTAGAGTGTTTTCATATCCTGGCTATTGTAAATAATGCTGCAATGAATATAAGAGTACATATATCTTTCTGAGTTAATGTTTTGTCTTATTTGGATAAATACCAAGAAGTGGAATTGCTTAATCATATGGTAGCTTTATTTTTAATTTTTGAGGAACCTTCATGTTTTTCATAGTGGCAACATCAATTTCAGTCTCATCATCAGTGCACTGGGTTCCCTTTGCATCAGCGTTTGTTATCTCTTGTACTGTTGATAATAGCCATGGAATATTTTAACTCTGATGAAGATTAATTTAACAATTGTTTTTCTTATAAGTAGAGTGCATTTTATATGGTGTTAAGAAACTTTTATCTCCCCCAAGATGAAAAATTACTTCTGTTTTCTTTTAGAAGCTTTCTTTTAGATATTAACTTTAACATTTAAGACTACGATTCAGCCATAGCTGGTTTGGCTCAGTGAATAAAGCGTTGGCCTGGAGACTGAGGGGTCTGGGTTTGATTCCAGTCAAGGGTACATGCCCAGGTTGCTGGCTCTCATCATCGATATTTCTATCTCTCTCTCCCTCTCCCTTCCTCTTTGAAATTAATAAAAATATATTTTTAAAAAGACTATGATTCATCTCAAATTAATTTTGCATATTGTGTGATTTGAGTGTCAATATTCATTCCCCCCCTGAAAATATTGTCCCAACACAAAATCAGAAAAACAAAGAGAACAATAATCTAGTTTAAGTTTTACAGGATTATAGTTATGGGTCTCAGAGGAATAAAAATAAATTTATTTCAAGTTTGAGTTAATACTCCCCTTTGTATGACTATAGAAGCTACTCTTTGAACTATGGGAGGGAAAATAGACTAAGTAAAGAGAGTAGAAGAGAAAGAGGTGAGTGGCCTGTGGACAGGACAGTAATTACCCAGAAAAATTTTGTAGAAAGGGAGGGTAAAGCATCCACACATAAATCCATTTTGCACAGAGGCAAGTACTTATTCTACTAGTATCACAGAGTCCCATCTGTGCCCACAGACCATTAGCCACCACCCAATCAAGTACAGCCACTAAGAACTGTGCTCTGTCTGCACCTTTCAGTCAATTGTCCCAGGTCTCCCTTATTTGCTGCCAGCCCATGAGCAATAGACTACTTGGCAGAAGTGATGATCAATGTGTCCCATGGCTTTGTTCACTTCCATTATC